GGGAGGCACAGCACTGTCTAGCAAGGGGAGAAGTAGGCAGAGAGCATGAGCATTTCCGGGTGAAATTGATCAAGGGAAACAGCCAAGAGTGCTTGGGGGTTGACATCGAAAAGCTGTCGAACCACGTAAGGAAGTTTGGATGGAGGGTTTGCATCGCGAACATGATAGAAACAGAGCAGGTAAGGAGACAAGAGACGAGGGCGATCAAGGCGAAGAAGGGACCAGGCGGGGGAGACGACCAGACAAGTCAGAAGAACGCCGAGCAGAAGCGGGAGTCGAGCAATAGAGTGCGCAAAATATCCAATAGGGAAAAGCACAAGCTGAGAGTGGGGTCGTGGAACGTGTGCGGGTTCGCAAGGAGTGAGCGGAAACGGTTGGAAATAGTGGACTAAGTAGAACAAGGCGATCTAGGTGTAGAGGGGATCCAGGAGACGTGGGAACCGAAGGATGGAGACATCGTAAGCAAACTAGGGAAATACCGGTGGGCAGGGTAAGGCAAGAAAGGGCTTAGACCGGATGAACAGGAGGGAGGGGGGAGTTGTACTCCTGATCAAGGAACACTTGTTTGACGTGGTGGAAGTAGTGGTGAAAACGGAGTTCGAGGAAAGCCTATGGCTTAAGATACTTGGGGAGCGGGGTGAGAAAGATTTGTTTCGAGGGAACGTATATGCATACGTCCCACCGTCGTCGAAGAAAGTCGCAAGCAAGGCACAGGAGAACTTTGGACAAATTGGGCAACATGTCCATAGGTTCAGTAGCAAGGGAAAGTTGTCATGGTGGGCGACTTCAATTTCAGAGTAAGGCTTCCAGTAGGGGACAGACCACCGGGCAGCGCGGAGAAGACAAAGGGAATGACAACGGAGTGAGGATGCTTGAATTCTTGGGAAGCAACGAACTGATCGTGTTGAACGGTAGAAGGGAATGCGATAAGCCGGAGTTCACCAGGCAACGGGCAGTTTGCAAGGAGTATTCGGTTCTCGACGACATCCTGGTAGATTGCGGGAGCACACAGATCCCAGAGCTGCACGTAAGTACGATAGATATAGGTTCGACCGACCACTTCCTCATGTGGGCAAACATCGACCGAGCTAGGAAGGCGGAGAGAAAGAAACAGAGGGAAGTGTTCCGGTGGAAAGTAGAGCATTTGGGAGACGAAGGGACAAGGGATGAATTCCAGAAGGGACTGGCTGATAGTGTAGAACCCTTCAGGAACCTGCTGAGAAGCGTCGAAGAAGGAAAGGTAGACGTATAAGCAGCAGGGGACGGGGTGATGGAAGGGTGGGAGTCCATAGTGAACACAACGGCAGAGAGAGTAGTGGGAAAGAAGGTGGTACGATGTGGGGTATCGGTCAAGTGGTGGAATGACAACTGAAAGAAGAAATAGGGAACGAAGAGAAGTCTTCAAGCAGTACCTGAGTGAGGAACCTGAGGAGAGTTGGGAAAAGTACTGGGCCAAGAGAAAACAGGTGAAGGGACTAGTAAAAGAGATGTAAAAGTGCATTTGGGACGCAGTAGTTGCAGGGCCTGACTTCAGGCGTGTCTACATAGTGCAGAAGGCCAACGGAGGCCTGGAGAGGAACGTCAAGCAGCTGTGGGAAGGGATTAGTGGGATGGTAAAAATGACCGCGCAAGGGGGGGATACAGTGGTAGCAACTTTGTGAGGTGTGAATGGTGGACTAGTCAGCAGTGGGAAGTGGAAAAGGGGAGTTCTGCTTCAGGTTCTACGACAACGCCCGTAGTGGATGCCATGGTTCTCAATCCTGCCGAATTAGAATTCCGTGAGGCCGTCGAACCCTATACACGTTTGGATTGGGCGCGTGAGCAGCAAAAGAGCCGGTGTGTGAAGCTACCGTCCACCATATTCTACTCAATAGCCCTCCGAGTCTACCAAACGATTTCTTATACGGAGTGTCGTATCCCCCCAGTCATTGACCATCCTTTGAGGAAAGCCGAGACCTTGCAGATAAAAGGGCGCCTCATCACTAACGATGGTCTCTGCCTTATCGTCAGACAATGTACCAAGTCCCCGGTCTCTTCGGACCGTCCGGGAGGACTGCACGATTATTTTTTGACAAGCTCATGGTAATGAGACCTTCGGTCATGCAGGCTTGTCATGCCAACGCCCTCTGCCACGTTGGTACCGCTTCCACAATTAGCTTGTTGAGAGTTTCTACTGGTTGGTGTTCATTGGTGGATTCGGTGATGTCTGAAATATCAGACCCGCAAAACTGCGCACCAGTCTAGTCGCTCGCCGATTCTGACGACCCCTCTACCTTCTGCACCAGGGGTAGCAATTTGCGTCGACTATTTCAGTCCGCTTCCCACCACTCGCAAGGTTTTTCGTTTCAGTCGATGAGTCAAAATAATATGATAATATTCACACAGCAGTGACTGACGCCGAGTTCACCGCTGAAGGTTCAGCCGATGACCTCGTCAACAAGTGCATGCATGCCTGTTTGGCGATGCCCCCTCAGCATTCTTTCAGACAATGGATTGCTGTTTCGCTCCAAAAGTTTAGTTGCCATCCTGAATGACACTGCGACGCGTCCGCAAAATAGCGACGAGCGCGTACCACCCCATGGCCCAGATGCTGGATTGGTTGTGAACGAACGACAAGATCATTGGGACATCCATCTCCCTCATGTTGAATTCGCTTACAACAACTCTGTTAGCACTGCCGCAGGACTGGTGCCCAACGAGGTGCGTAGGACGCGCGTTCCCCCGTGTCCACAGACCGTTTTTGACACCATGTACGCTCGTGGTCACCTGTCGCTTTCACGTGATCAGGTCGAGTATTACAACCTTGCCGCTGATCGGCAACGGCACTCCTACGAGCTAGTGCGTGAACAATACGCAGTAACAATTTCCCCATGGAACTACGGAACTCGAACCTGTCTGATGCCTTACACAAATATCCGTTGATCCTACCGGCGCTTGGGCATGGTTGTACAAATCTCTGTAGCTACAATCCGACAAAGGCAAATTAACTTTCAAGGCCCTCGCAGATGCTGACTCCCAGGTGCTTAGGCAGAAGCAGTCCTTGAATTGGACTGGTTTAAAACCCTCGCAGTCGGTCCTTGCAACAAGGCTCTCCATGGCCGCCCGATAGCTGACAACCTCCTGTACTTGGCGGATCTTCCATCCGACATGTCCGAAGCGGATGCCATGCGCCGAGTTCCTGTCGCTCGTTGCAAACCGTGCGCAAACCCGCACAATAGTGACGACATGCCTCGTTTTTTGCCTGCCGGCCTCACGCAGTATGTTCTCAACAACTACACGTGGAAACTCCGCCGTACCATGTTACCGCGGACGATGTTTCCGCGCGTGTCCGCAGACATCAGTCGGTTCGCGGACGTGAGGGTGTCATCGCCATGATGTACGAGACCCACTGGAAAGGCCTTGTGCACCGGTCGCGGGAACGTGAAATGGACGTCCAGCACTCCCGTAAGCAGATTCTTCTCTATTGGGCTGGAAACCCCGGCCAACATCGGCAGACCAACCGTCTGTATCGTCGCATTCGTATTGCAGCAGCGGAACGTGAACTTTTTCGCATCAAAGGCGAGGGTCCTCGTCGCCTGGGTATGAATATGGTCCCGCAAAGTTTGGGCCCGCCGTTTTCGCAACACCGTGCTGCCTGGTGGCGCACACTTCTGATACAAAGCTCAACACGCTCTATGGTGGCTCGGGAAAATCCCCGGACATACTCCAACTCCACAAGTGTTCTTCATTCGCTTTCTGGACGACCCTGGACCTGTCAAGATCACCTTTTTCCTTCGTGCTATGGACAAGAGAGTCATGTGCCCTCCGTTGATCCCCTAGGGCAGCCTCCCCAGGGTGTGAGGGGGGAGGCTAGGCCCCTAAGCCCCCATAGAACGGGGTAGAAGGGAAGACAAGAGAGGAGAGTATTATTGTATGCAGACATCAACAGAGGCCCCATATGGAACAACAAGGGGATACTATCAGCATCCCCAAAAATTATACCATATCCGGGCCCCTGGCAGAGCTCTGTCCACAACGCCCCCAAATTGCATCGCTACTTCTTAGTAGAACCCGATGAGCTTGGTAACAAACTCGGCTCTGACTACAAGCCAAAAACACGGACAACACACGAGCATTGAATGATAACTCACACCATAAACTGTTAAATCGCCCAAACAACAACAAGCATAACAGCCTTGTGCGCAAAAGCGGACAGAAACCTCACACAAACGTCAAGTTCTAAAAGTATCCAACGGAACGTTGACCAGCAATGTTACGTACCATCGCGAACCCCCCCCGCCCCCTCGGTGTTTGCCATCGGGGCTGGGTTTTCGTTGCTTGGCAACGACGTTGTAAAACAAGCCAATTCACGTCGTGAGCTCGGCAACCAGGTTACCGTTTCTTTTTTTTACCTTTAGTTTTTTTTTGGGCGGTAACCATAATGATGGTCGAGTACGTCATGTTGTGCGGGGTCGAGAACCCTCACTCCGCGCAAAGGGGATGATCGCACCACGTCGTGTTAAAATGGTCAAGCATCCTCGAGGCAGTTACAAACTTTTCACTGTCTCTGGGCGTGAAAGCACCAGAAAATAAATTAAGACATACGCAGCTGTCATCCGTACGCAAGGAAGTAAGCACAAGATGCCTAAAACACCCTTAGCAGGATGCAGCGCACCCTTCATGCGACTCGCCGAATACCTCACGGCGCTTCGCGCTTGGTGATGTGAGAGCCTGGTCCGGTGAGAACCCGGCGTGCTCCGTCCTGGCTTTGTAGGGATGCGAGGTCAATGGTCTAACAACTACGGCATGCACGACTATGAGTACACCCTCCTCCCCCCCCCCATCAAGGACGAAAACGCCCACGCTACGCAAGTACTCTCGACAATACGTCTTCGCAGATATTTCGCCAGCCTAAATAAAACACCTGTGTCAGGTAAGTAGTGCCAAAACACCAACAACGATAAGGTATACTCGTTTTGGCCTCAAGCATGATCTCAAATCAAAATCAGCAAAGATAGAAAATGTACCCCGGACAAGCAGGCGCTCCAAGACCAAGCAGCAACACTTTGATCGATGAGCGTTTATCAGGTAAGCATTTAGTAAATATGTATGACGTATCACACCACACCGCTTTTAGAGATACGGTCTAGGTAAGCACTAATGTTTACGTATCGTTTAGTAAATCACGCCGAACCATTTTTAGAGATTCAGCATGCGTCATCCCTGGTGTTTCTCGGACGAACAGTCCAAACCTGAAGCACATCAGCAACAATCGGTGTGAAAGATATCATGACATCCAAAAACGGCAAATTAATGGCAAAGAAATTCGCAGTCGAAGTGTCCCTCTACAATAACACATCACTCAGTACATGCGAAACGCCCACAGGCACCAGTTGGATTCGCCAGTGGCCCCAAGCAAATGCTAGCCCCGCACATTGTATTACACACGCGAGCTCGCCCCACACAATGTGGACGCCCCCACCATCGCGCGCCATGAACCGACGCACCTGGATACAATCGAGAACACGCAAGAAACGCTCGCAGACAAGGGTAAGGCATGCATGCTCGACCATGAACACGCGATAAGCACTCGCAGAAGCAAAGTAAAGGCATGGCCATGCTCGGCCAGAGATGCTCGCACCGCCCCCAAAAACAGACCCCGCAAATGCAAGCTTCATGCAGATCTTGCACGCAAAGCACCAAGCCCGATGTGCAAGAATGGCCGCACGATTTGTTGTCAACGTGGCTGAACGAACGATCTGGAGTCCGCTCCTCGACGTGTACATCCGATTTAATTGCCTCTGCGGCTGGAACGGTCGATATTTTTCTGGATCATGACTACAGGGTTCTGCTAGGGGCCCAGATATGGTAGTTGGAGATGTTAATGGTACAGTACCCCCTTGTTGTCCCATCAAGGGGGCCTCTATTGACGTCTGATGATAATAATACACTCTGTTTACCATCACCACGGAAGTGAACCGACCAGCCCCCCGAGGCCACGGGGGGACGACACTGGTCCCGTGCCCGGCCTGACTTCAGGCGTGTCTACGATCAACAAACAGCTCACGGCTGCCCAGTCAACCTGAATTCTTAAGAATTATGGACAAGAGAGCCATATGTCCTCCGTTTCCCCAAGGGCATGTGGACGCAGCGCACCTGGGTAGCAGTAATTCACGGTGCGAAGCTGCCGTTGCATATGTATGCATGTCAAATATATGGTAGATTGGGGCTTCTATCTGCCTGGTTGACATGTTGGCAGAGGAGAGAGATAGATGGAGATAGAGAGACGAGACTCGTGTGCAATAATAATACACTGTGTTTACCATCACCAAGGAGGTGAATTGACCAGCCCCCCGAGGTCACGGGGGGAGGATACTGGCCCTAGGCCCTGCCTGACTTCAGGCGTGTCTACAGTTATCGATAATTCAGGCTGGCCGACCAGGGTCAGTCAGGGTCAAAAAGCAATTTCGTGAGAATAGCAGGACGAGCTATTCCTCCGCGTTTTTCTTGCTTCGCTGAGTGCGAGGCTGCCGTCTTGGAGCTGCTGTCCTGATCGACCCGGAGGCTTGCGTGTCTGCCGTAGCGAAAACCACGGCTCAGCGCCTGGGCCAGTGGAAAGCTGTCTTGGGCCAGTACGATTACACCATCAGGCACATTTCGGGTGAGCGCAATTGCTGGGGGGACCTTCTGTCGCGGTGGGTCTCTGTGCCGTCGGTGAGTGTTCGCGCTGCCGTGGTTTACGCCCCACGCGAACCTGATGCCGCCATGCCGTCGAAGCAAGTATGTGATGCACAACAAGCGGCGCGGAGTAAGCTCGGCGCGCTCGCCGGGCCTGCCACGTCATTTTCGACGGCGGTGGGGACGGCGACTCTGGATGACGAGGGATTGTTTCGCGTGGGGATGAACGGGCGAGACGTGCTTTGGATTCCAGATCAGGCGAGTGCGTTGCAGGTGCGACTGATGGTCTGTGCACACATGAAAGAAGCCGGGCATCGTGGCGCCGTCGCCACCTTGCAGCGCCTGTCCGAGTACTGTTGCTGGTTTCGGATGGAAGAGCATGTCACTGACTTCGTCAAGCAGTGCCTGCATTGCATGGACTCTAAGGCGGGAGAAAAGGTGCCTCGCCCGCTTGGGGAGACCGTCCATGGCACGCGCCCTGGCGAAGTTGTTCATTTTGACTACCTCTACGTGGGAGCGAGTGGCCCGCAGGGGGATGATGGCTTGGACGAGGAGAAAGGGTTCAAGTACATTTTGGTCATGATGGACGACATGTCCAACTGGGTTTGGCTGGAGCCCACCGGGGCATGCACTGCCCGCGTGACTGCGCAACATCTCCTGACGTGGTGTAAGTTCTTGGGTGTGCCGGAGGTTTGGGAGAGTGATACCGCTTCCCATTTCAAAAATCACATGATGGCTGCCCTTGAGACTGCACTCGGTGTTGACCGGAAAATTTTAGTCGCCAACTCTCCCTGGTCTAACGGTACGTGCGAGCGCATGATGCGCGAGGTGGTTCGTACGCTCAAGGCCATGATTCAGGAAGAGCGGAGGAGTACTCGTGACTGGGTTGATCTGGTACCAGCTGTGCAATGGGCGTTGAACACCGCTTTCCGCGAACGATACGGCTCGACGCCGTACCGCGTCATGTTTGGTAGAGCGCCACGCACCGCGCTTTACACTTTGACGTTGTCCATAGGCGCCGAATGAAAGGTAGACGTCCTGGATGGGAAGTCTTTGCGACTGAAGGTGCAGCACGTCGTCGAGGCCTAACGTTACCTGCACAAGGAAGTTCTCGACAAGGTGCAGGCGAGTTGGAGGAAGCACCGGGCGTCTGCGCGAGTTGGGAGCCTGCCCGACTTCGTGGTGGGGGACTACGTGTTGGTGGCGCGTGTTCGCCGGCGTGGTTCGACACCGAAACTTCTCATGACCTGGACGGGGCCGTGGAGGATTGTCGCCGCCAAGAGACTGCATGTGTACGGAGTCCAGAACATCGTGTCGGGGGAAGTTCGGGACGTCCATGTCGCGCGTTTGCGGTTCTACGCCGATGCCGCTCTCGAAATCACGGCCGAGTTGAAGAAGGTCTTTCATCATGCTTTCACGCAGGGGGAGTTCGAGATGGCGGCGATCGTGGACATGTTAGTGGCGGAAGATGGCCCTGGGTTCGACGTGGAAGTAGAGTGGGTCGGATTCGACAAGGAAGAGAATACCTGGGAAGAGTTGTCCAAGGTGTGGGATGCCGCGCCGCAGTTCGTCAAATCCAAGCTGCGGCGGCTGGGTCTGCCGAAAACGTTTCGGGCTCAGTTGAAGCGACAATACGGCATTGCCCTGTGATATATTTGTTTGAGTTGAGTGAGGGCTATCTTGTCGAGCATTGATAGCATTTCTTCGCTGACTTCTTTCGCATTTGTGTTTCATTTGTTTGAGTTGAGTGAGGGCTATCTTGTCGAGCATTGATAGCATTTCTTCGCTGACTGTTTCTGTACATTCTTCAGCTTGCGGCGCATTTATGTTGTGACGTGCCTGTCTTTTGCATGTGATTGAACAGCGTGGAGGCCGCCTTATGACAGCGTGTTGGTGATATTTCTTCGCGAGCTACGTACGTTTGTCTAATTTCGCGACATTGGCTTGTTCAACGATCATGCCGATCGTTTCGCCATGTATGTTTGGTATTTCGAGATATTTCAACTCAACCCTGGAAGCGCCTCGTAACAGTTTTCAGCGTTGCCTCTGGGTTGTTGTTTTGTTTTCATCATTTTCCTTGCATGTGGCAACTTTGCCCATTTCGCGTTGTTTGCTGTGTGTTGGTCATCCATCCATTGCGTAAGTTTCTCTGTACGCGTGTCTACCGGACTTAGCCAATCTTGTGTGGTCGTCCGACACGTGCGTGTTTGTCGTTTGAAGCGTCGAGGTCCTTCACTGTTGAATGGAGGCATTCTACGTTTTGCATGGGAGGTTGAACACTTGCGCTGACTGACGAATTGGTGTGGCATTATTTAGTCAGGCATGATATCGCCATGTACGGGTGTTTATCATTGACAAATACCGCTGTCGTTTTCTTCTTGAGTACAACCAGGTGCCTACTGCTGTTTGAGTTCAAGCTGATTCGTGTCTACTCCGGTAGTAATTAGCTTTGGGGGCATTGTGGACGCAGCGCACCTGGGTAGCAGTAATTCACGGTGGGAAGCTGCCGTCGGATATGTATGCATGTCAAATATATGGTAGATTGGGGTTTCTATCTGCCTGGTTGGCATGTTGGCAGAGGAGAGAGATAGATGGAGAGAGAGAGACGAGACTCGTGTGCAATAATAATACACTGTGTTTACCATCACCAAGGAGGTGAATTGACCAGCCCCCCGAGGCCACGGGGGGAGGATACTGGTCCTAGGCCCTGCCTGACTTCAGGCGTGTCTACAGGAAGCCTCCCCAGGGTGTGAGGGGGGAGGCTAGGCCCCCATGCCCCCATAGAGGGGGGTGGGAAAACAAGAAGGAGAATATTATTATATACAGACATCAACAGAGGCCCCGCATATGGGACAACAAGGGGGTACTATCAACACCCCCAACCACCATATCTGGGCCCCTAGCAGAGCCCTGTCCACAGCGCTTGTGGAGCGTGCCTGCTGTTCCGGGGTACATTTTCTACGTTGCTGGTTTTGATTTGAGATCATGCTTGACGCCAAATCGGGTATGCCTTACCGTGGTTGGGGTTTTGGCGGCTACCTGACAAGGTTGTTTAAGGCTGGCGAAACATCTGGGACTACGTATTTTCGAGAGTACTTGCGTACAGTAAAATATAGTGGGGGGGGGTTTCATCGACGATGACGGCGTTCGTGACAGCACGTACGTAACATTGCTGGTCAACGTTCCGAAAGATACTTTTGGGACTTGACGTTTGCGTGAGATTTCCATCTGCTTTTGCGTACAAGGCTGTTTGCTTGTTGTTGCTTAGGCGATTTGACAGTTCATGGCGAGTTATTATTCAATGCCCGCGCTTTGTCCATGTTTTTGGTTTTGTAGTCAGAGCCGAGTTTTGTTATCAAGCTTATCGGGGGCATTGTGGACAGAGCTCTGCTAGGGGCCCAGATATGGTAGTTGGGATGTTGATGGTACGCCCTTGTTGTTCCATATGGGAGGCCTCTGTTGATATCTGCACATAAGATACTCTCCTCTCTTGTCTTCCCTTCTACCCCCTTCTATGGGGGCTTTGGGGCCTAGCCTCCCCCCTCACACCCTGGGGAGGCTGCCCTAGGCGGTCAACGGAGGGCATATGGCTCTCTTGTCCATACACTACACGACACCTTTGGGAGTTGTTTGTGGATCTTGGTGACTTCAGCTGCGCCGAAGTAGTCCCTTCGTGCGAGGTATCTTGCGGAATGTAGACGAATCATGTGGCATGGATATTGCCGCCCCTGGCTGATAGGAACGTTGCCTTTGTTTTATGTGTATGTGCATGTGTAATGTGTCTGTGTCTGTGCGTATGTGTGTTTTTAGCTCGCGAGCTCGATCTATTCTTGAGACTGGCTGTTTCTTAGCTAAATTTCTATCACAACCTCTCGATTGGCTTGGAGACTTGATACGTATTGTTCCTTCATGTTTTCAGCTCGACCTTCTCAATCCTCGCCAAGTTTTTGGTTTCTATCTTCTGTACCGGTTGAGCTGCCCAGGAAGAACGGTTGTTTTTGATTTGATGGGCGACTGGTAGAGTTTAGTGACGACGACACGACGACGGGGCTTTCCTTCAGCCCTGGTCGGGACCGCGCTCGCAATCAAACAGTTAATCTCAAGATTGGCGAAGTGTACCTGGGGTTGGGTTTGAATTGAAGCAGCTGCACTGCTGTCGTCACGAGAATTTGTTTATGACCCCTGCCCGGTCATAACTGTAGACATGCCTGAAGTCAGGCAGGGCCTAGGACCAGAATCCTCCCCGTGTGGTCTCGGGGGGCTGGTTGATTGACCTCCTTTGTGATGGTAAACGCGTATATTTTTTCACACGATCGCTCCCTCTCGATCTATCTTTCTCTCTCAAGCCAACATGCCAACCAGGCAGATAGAAACCCCAATCTACCATATCTTAAGACATGTAGATATCCAAAGGCGGCTTCCCACCGTGAACTACTACTACTACTACCCAGGTGCGCTGCGTCCACAGCACTCTGCAGGGCTCGAGGTGCCTGATTCTCTAGCTGCGTGGCTACAAACCAGCAGCCTTGCTTCTTTCGAACTCCCTGTTTTTATTTTGTCTCTCATCCTACCTGACGAAATATGACTTGATTCTTATATAGCGCTCGGAAACCACTTGATTTGAACCTTGTGTTGTACTGCAGCTGCCGCCATTCCGTCAACTCGACGAGGCGAGCGGCAAGGCTTCGGGCTACGTGAGATTGTGGTCACGCTGATTCTCTAGCTGCGTGGCTACAAACCAGCAGCCTTGCTTCTTTCGAACTCCCTGTTTTTATTTTGTCTCTCATCCTACCTGACGAAATATGACTTGATTCTTATATAGCGCTCGGAAACCACTTGATTTGAACCTTGTGTTGTACTGCAGCTGCCGCCATTCCGTCAACTCGACGAGGCGAGCGGCAAGGCTTCGGGCTACGTGAGATTGTGGTCACGCAAGGTCACCGCCAAGAACGAACCCCCTGGGATTTCATGGGCGTTGAGAAAATCAGTCTCACACCTGTCATAACTTTTTCTCTCAAATAACAAAATATATGTTACTGTGGTCTTTTGAGACTTGTGAGGCCGAGTGTTACGTCGTGATTATTTCGGAGATGTTTTTTTGCTCTCGGTCGAGGGGGGGTGGTCTGCAAGGGAAAAATTGTCTGGATCCAAGCGACCTTCTTCGGTTCCTCGAGACAGATTTTTTTCTCAGGGAAAATAAAGGCCGATTCAAGTCTTTGTGGGTCACAACATGCTTCAGTTCACGGTTTTGGCTTGTGTGCGACCAGCAAGACACCGAGCGCCCTGTTTTTTTTGGGTTGCCTCCAGAGTGCATGTGTATCATCGCACCCCAGTGACTGCAGTTTGTGGATGTCGTCGGCCAAAGGCCTCTCTCTGATGGCATGCGTTGTACACTGATCACGCTCGGAGCAACCGGGAAAAAAAGGCAACGTCCAAAAAAGGCAACACCGAACCACACCTCGGTTCACGTTTACGGGCCGTGTGCAATCAAAACTGGACAATACGCTCTGCTTCTGGGACGCGAGCAGAGGGTATGTGTATGATCACACGCTACTGCCTGCTGTTTGTGGATGTCATCGGCCGAAAGCCTCTCTCTGGCATGCGTTGTGGACTGGTCGCGGGTGACACACGGAGCAAACACGCGCGGAACAAAAAAAAAGTCCAAAAAGTCAACACCGCAACTTTCGGTTCACGTTTGTTTTCAGGCCATGTGCAATCCAAACTGGACAATACGATCTGTTTCTGGGACGCGAGCAGAGGGTATGTATATGATCACACGCCACTGGCTGCAGTTTGTGGATGTCGATGGCGTAAAGCCTCTCTCTGGCGTGCGTTTTGACTGGTCACACAGCGCAAAAACGGCTCTGTTCGGCCGAAAGGCAAGAACGTCAGCAGAGCAATGTAGGAGAGTTGACGTTATCGGCTCGTGTGCGGCCAACACAATGAAGAACGCCCTGAATTTTAGATGCCTGCAGAGGGTTTGTGCATGACCTCATGATACTGGCCTCTGTTTGGCCAGCAGACGGTGTAGTTCCTCGTTCTGGCACGATCGAGGTGTGACCAGGGGGTAACCCCCCCAATTCCAAACTGGATATTATCAGCCGGTCCAGTTTGGAAAATGGGCCTATTTTCCAACGTGGCAGCTGAGATCCTAGGAAATATTCGGCGATTTGGAATTCGAGCGTTTGGAAATGGCCAAATTCCTCCGCGTAAGACGCTCAAATAATTATTTGGGCTGAGAAAAGGACCCCCCCAAAAAAAATTCCCGAAATAAGGCTAGTTGTTATGGAAAGAATTCCCAACTGGGAATCCCGATATTATTCCTTTTACATCCAAACTCCCATGCGTCAGGAGGGGTTCTGCGCACTTGGTGGGAAAAGCACACCAAAGCGCTTTGTCAATCAGTACTCGCCTCACAGAAACGCGTTTGTGATCAAACCTTCGAGGCTGTAGACTACATTGCTGTGAGCCTCTCAGAGTCAAGTTTGGGGAGCTGGGGTGGAGTGTGTGTTCATCATGGTTGGACAACTAGGATTTCAATCTGGGAATATTGGACGATCCTGCGTGGGAATTCCTCATGGATGCCAAACTGGAATTGGTTGAAATTCCAATCTGGGACTTGTGAATTTGCTTTCATATCCGAGGCTACTCTGTGCACACTACATTCTAGCTGCCCAAACTTTGCTCCGCAAAGCTCACAGCAGTGGACTGTACAGCCTCGGTGGTTTGATAAGGAACAGGTCTCTGTGAGGCGAGGATTAAGTAACGAAGTTCCATGGTGGGCTCTGCTTGCTATCCAGTACGCAGACCTCCTCTTTTGTGGGGTGGCTGACCATTTTCTGTCGACTCCCCGGATTCCAATCTTGGAAAATCTAACAACTGGCCTAATCACGACGTAAGACTCGGCCTGGAGTCTTATCATCACAGCTAGGCCTTTCCCCATTCTGCGAGCAGAACTTTTGGCATAGTTGGCCTATATGAGCATAAACAAAAGCATATTCCGGAAAGAGCAATGCTCGTGCATATATATCGTAGTAGAAAGGAGAATATGTGTCCACATTTCGAGCATATTCGTCCATTTTTCGGTTCAGGCCACAAAATATGGTGGATAGGACGTGATTTCAGGCTCGCTCCTAGCTCTCGGGGGTTGAATCAATCGTTTATGGACTAATATGGAGCGACTTTGACTGACCCTAACCCTAAGCGATTTGAAAAAAAATAAGTAGAGAAAAAAATCGCGCGGGCACTAACCGTATCCAAAAAGCATAATGAGGAGCATAAAAAGGCATTTTAAGCATATCATCGTCCCCCACAGAAAGGGCAGAAGTAGGGGGCAGGAGAAAAAAAAATAAGCATATGCTCACGGAAAAAAAAGAGCAGAAACAAAATAGAAAAAAAAAGAATGGGGAAAGGCCTAAGGCCAGTTGTTATGGAGAATTTTTCCGATTTGGAATCCGGAGGATCGGCAGATAGTGCTCCACCACTCCCTAAAAGTAGGAGGTCTGCGTACTGGGCAGCAAGCAGAGAGCAGCAAAGCGCTTTGTCAGTTCGTTCTCGCCACACAGACCCCTGTTTGCCATCTAACCGATAAGGCTGTACACTCCACGACAGTGAGCTTCTCGGAGCCAAGTTTGGGCAGCTAGAGTGTAGTGTGCATAGAGTATGCAATGATATGAAAGCAAATTCACGATTCCCAATTTGGAATTCCAACCAATTCCAGTTGGGAAATTCATGAGGAATTCCCACCCGGATCGTCCAGCAATTCCTAATTGGAATTCCTATTTTACCAAGCATGGTGAACACACACTGCACCGCAGCTCCCCAAACTTGGCTCGAAGAGGCTCACAGCAATGCTCTACGCGGCCTCGAAGGTTTGAATGCTAACGGGTCTCTGTGAGGCGAGTACTGAGTGCCAAACCGCTTTTGTGAGCATTTCCAACGACGTACGCAGAACTCCTGCGGCCTCATGGGGGTTTGGCTGTAAAAGGCGTAATATCGGGATTCCAAATCGGAAAATTTACCATAAGGCTGAGTCTTACGGTGTAATTATTTCCTGATTGAATTTGGGGGGGCGGTCCTTCTCTGAGCCAAAAAAATTATTTGGGCGTCTTATGGGTAGGAAAATGGCATTTTCCAACAGCCCAAATTCCAACAGCGCAGTTTCCAACAGCGATTCCGGCCGGCCTGTTAGAAAATTGGCCCATTTTCCAACAGCGATCCTGTTGGAATATCGCTGTTAGAAATGGGGGGGGGTACCCCCTGGTCACACCCCGATCGTGCCAGAACGAGGAACTACACCGTCTGCTGGCCAAACAGAGGCCAATATCATGAGGTCATGCACAAACCCTCTGCAGGTATCTCAAATTTAGCGCGTTCTTCGTCGTGTTGGCCGCACACGAGCCGAAAATGTCAACCCTGCCACATTGCTCTGCTGACGTTCTTGCCTTTTTGCCGAACAGAGCTGTTTTTGCGCCTGCTGTATGTGGGACCAGTTCAAAACGCATGCCAGACAGAGGCCTTAAGCCGTCGACATCCACAAACTGCAGCCAATGGCGTGTGTTCATACTCATACCCTCTGCTCGCGTACCAGAAACAGAGCGTGTTGTCCAGTTTTGATTGCACACGGCCTGCAAACGTGAACCAAGTGTGTTGCGGAGTTGACTTTTCGGGCTTTTTTCTTGTTCCTCCGCGTGTTTGCTCCATGTGTCACCCGCGACCAGTCCACAACGCATGCCAGAGAGAGGCTTTTGGCCGACGACATCCACAAACAGCAGGCAGTGGCGTGTGGTCATACACATACCCTCTGCTCGCGTCCCAGAAACAGAGCGTATTGTCCAGTTTTGATTGCACACGGCCTGCAAACGTGAATCGAGGTGTGGTTCGGTGTTGCCTTTTTTGCATGTTGCTTTTTTTTTCTGCCGCTTGCTCCGAGTCGAGTGTGATCAGTCTACAACGCATGCCATCAGAGAGAGGCCTCTGCCCGACGACATCCACAAACTTCCGCCACTGGCGTTGCGATGATACACATGCCCTCTGCAGGCGACCCATAAACAGGGCGCTCGGTGTCGTGTTGGTCGCACACGAGCCAAAACCGTGTACTGAAGCATGATGTGACTCACAAGAACATGAATCAGCCTCTTTTTTCCCTTCAGAAAAAAATATACCTCGAGGAACCATAAGACAGTCGTTTGGATCTGGATAATTTTTTCCGTGCGGGCCACCCCTCCCCCCCCCCCCCCCCGAAAAAAAAACAACATCTCGGAAATAATCACACCGTAAGACTCAGCCTAACAACTGGCCTAATCACGGCTTGATTTTTCTGGACTGGGTTTGGGGGGGGGGTCCTTTTCTGAGCCCAAAAAAATTATTTGGGCGTCTTACGGGTAGGAAAATGGCATTTTCCAACAGCCCAAATTCCAACAGCGCAGTTTCCAACAGCGATTCCGGCCGACCTGTTAGAAAATTGGTTCTTTTTCCAACAGCGATCCTGTTGGAATATCGCTGTTAGAAATGGGGGGGGGTACCCCCTGGTCACACCCCGATCGTGCCAGAACGAGGCACTACACCGTCTGCTGGCCAAACAGAGGCCAATATCATGAGGTCATGCACAAACCCTCTGCAGGCATCTCAAATTCAGGGCGTTCTTCGTCGTGTTGGCCGCACACGAGCCGAAAATGTCAACCCTGCCACATTGCTCTGCTGACGTTCTTGCCTTTTTGCCGAACAGAGCCGTTTTTGCGCCTGCTGTATGTGGGACCAGTTCAAAACGCATGCCAGAGGAGGCCTTAAGCCGTCGACATCCACAAACTGCAGCCAATGGCGTGTGGTCATACTCATACCCTCTGCTCACGTACCAGAAACAGAGCGTACTGTCCAATTTTGATTGCACACGGCCTGCAAACGTGAACCAAGTGTGTTGCGGTGTTGACTTTTCGGGCTTTTTTCTTGTTCCTCCGCGTGTTTGCTCCATGTGTCACCCGCGACCAGTCCACAACGCATGCCAGAGAGAGGCCTTTGGCCGACGACATCCACAAACAGCAGGCAGTGGCGTGTGGTCATACACATACCCTCTGCTCGCGTCCCAGAAACAGAGAATAGGGTGTTTGCGAAATGGTCTCCCATTTCAGTCTTGGAAGTTTGAAGGAATTCCGGCCCAAGATTGAATTTTGGTTTCAAAAATAGCTTGCGAAGACCGGAGCGCAATATTTCAGTCTTGAACATGCGAAAATTTCCTAGAACGTTGCGTTCAATACGACGGAGCCCCTTTGGCGGCGGCGGCAGACAGATGGTTGAGCCGACTCGGAACACCAAACATATTTCCGAGCTTCCGCTTTCACCCCAACAAGGCTACTACTACTCCACTATCACTGCACCCTCACCCACCCCCAGTCATGGAGAATACTGATGGAGCAACGAACTAATTCATGAACAGGCGGTTGGCCCAGTTCAGTTACCGGGAGTGCATGGGAAGCGTAGCGCCGCAAAAAGCGGAGGCATGCATGTATGTGTGTACGTACCCCTTCAGCACGCGAACAAGTTGTGATACATATCGCAGTCAGTCGTCGACGGAGTCGATCGTTTCCTGTCAAACAAATCACCACAGCACGGTCCACAGGACGCACGCGCTGCAGCTCCTCACGCCCCCACGCCGCTTGAAGCATCCCCATCTCCATCACCTCCGCCTCCACCACCTGTGCCGCACTCCTGAGATCTATGCCGCCCGCCTCACCGCCTCACCCTCCTCACGCCGCGGTTTGATGTGTCACTTATTATGAGCATGCATGTAGAGCGGCATGCTTCTGTCCACGCATAAACATTTAAGATGAAGCAAAAGTTGCACCATGTCGGCAGCATGCAATGCGCACCGGGTGTGCGGTGCAGCGACGTTTGTCTGACCGTCTGTGGTCTGGCGGCACTGCTGCTGTTTGTAGTTGGTTCGCCATGCATGGTGTCGTCTACGGCGGCCAAGGTGTGTGTGTTTGGGCAGCTCCACGGGATGGTGCGGCGGTGTCGGGAGGACGTCGGGAGTATCTCGGGGTGCGTAGGCCAATCAAAAATTGTTGCTTTAAAGACCAAAATGAGCAAGACTGAATTCAAGCTTTCCTGCGGTCTTTGGGGGCAACTCCATAAAGCAAAAGATTGAATTCCTAAAGATCCATTGGTCTTCGCCGCTCGGGGGGATCAAAAAGACCAAGATGAAACTGAAATTTCAACTTCGCAAACACCGTAATATTGTCCAGTTTTGATTGCACACGGCCTGCAAACGTGAACCGAGGTGTGGCTCGGTGTTGCCTTTTTTGCACGTTGCCTTTCTGCTGCTAGCTCCGAGTCGAGGGTGATCAGTGTACAACGCATGCCATCAGAGAGACCTTTGGCCGACGACATCCACAAACTGCAGCCGATAGCGTGCGATGATACACATGCCCTCTGCAGGCGACCCATGAACAGGGCGCTCAGTGTCTTGTTGGTCGCACAAGAGCCAAAAACCGTGTACTGAATGAAGCATGATGTGACCCACAAGAACACGTAAATCAGCCTCTTTTATCCCTTCAGAAAAAAATATAGCGCGAGAAACCGAAGACGGTAATTTGGATCTTGATCATTTTTTCCGTGCAGGCCACCCCCCCCCCCCCCGACCGAGAGAAAAAACAATCTCCGAAATAATCAAGCCGTATAGACTCGGCCTGAAGACTGGAATTCTGTCACAAAAAACTCTTAAGGTCGCGGTGGGGATGGCTGGTTTCCTCTTCAAAAATCCAGGAAACGCCTGCATATCTCAGTTTTCCAAAGTCTTACCTCCAGTACGAACCTGCCATCGCAAATTAACCGTCCGCGCACCCCCCCTCGTGTACAATGTTAGTGTCTGATTTTTTTTTTTCGTCGTATCTCTGGCGCCGCCTGCTTACTCCTGTTCGGTGCACACTACACGTTTGCCGCGTATGTGCACTTACATTTCTCAGCGCACTTGGTTACTGCAACTAGCTAGACGCACCGTCCGGGCTCACACAGGAGGGGGTACCAACGCCGTTTTTTTTTCTTCTTTTTGTCCCCGCCTACCTCCTGCGGTGCCTGCCTGAGATATTTTTATCGCGAGAAGGACAGCAAACAACTCACATGCCGGGACTCGAACCCATGACATGGCCCTTAGTAGGCTGCGAGGATACCCACTAGACCACCGGGGCGACCGGTGTGATTGTAGCCCTTGCGATACACTACAGAAAAAAAAAAAAAGCGGTCCGTGATTTTCCAAAAGATCCTTCTATCATCGAGATCGGTGCGCTACAAGCTGGATTATTGAAACTGCTGTGCGGTCCGATTTTGAAACGCTTCAAGCACCTTTGCAACGGCGAATCAGCGCCTATGTGAGTCCGTGGGGCCGCGAACTTCAGCGCAGCTCTCCACTCGTATGTTCTTCTCTTCGCCACAGTCGATTTGACTGCCTGCGGTCATGTATATGTAGGTCTAGCCAGAAGCAGAGGTGCTTGAAGCGTTTCAAAATCGGACCGCACAGACAGCAGCTTCAACAATCCAGCTTGTAGCTCACCGATCTCAATGATAAAAAGATCGTTTGGAAAATGACGGACCACTAATCTGTAGTGTATCGCACGGGCTACAATCTCAGACACTAACACTGAAACGCCAATTTTCAATGGGGAACGTAAACCAGGTTTCGCTTGGTTAGTGGCGTTCATGTTAATTCAAACGAGAATCGCAACCAGTGTCTAAGTGTCTTTATTTAGTGAATCAATAATTGAACGTGTTTCCCGCTTATTCCGCGATTCCCCTGATCCTTTTCTGTAGTGTTTCCCATAATGTTCGAGTCTTGCTTCGACAGCTTTAATCCCTAAGTGACCCCAGGCTTGGTCAACGAGATGTTCTCACAAAAACACAACCGGCCGGACCAAGCATTACGAGGCCCGCTGTCCAACCTTCACGCTTCTCAATGCACGCCCAAGCGAATGTCTACCGTAATACGAACGAAGTGGGTCGACCCCATTGTATTTGACGACTTGCTCGACTATTTCTCAGGATAGGCGCTGGTCTCGCCCTCGTAGAGGCGTCCTCCACCGGGCCTGTACTTCCAGTTGCACTGTTTCATGGAGAGCAACGAACCAACGGACGGTGACCAAGGGGGTTCGCATAAACCGCGCATACGTCACTCGAGCGCGGAACAGCGAGAGAACTTCTCTCTAAACCCTTCTGCATCCCAATGCCGGTCACTCCGGCGATCTAGTGAGTAGCGGGTTGTGAGTTTGATTCTCTCTCTAGAGCAAAGCGATATTTCGTAACTATACATAAAACGGACTGCTGAACCCTTCTCCCCATAAAAATCTACGGCAAGCAAGGCGCAGGAGGAAACGTCGGGGGATTGAAACAAAAAAAAAATCATTTAGAAGCTCCAATTTGACCTTCCTCCTGTACGACCCCCGCTGATACATTACACATTCGCTGAAAGGTGTGTAGACTGGTGCCACAATACATACGACGAACACAAACACACCACACAACAAAAGAAGGGCGCACAAAAAGGGAAGTACAGCGCGAAAGAGGACAGACACATTTTACACAGACCAACCGTGTCTCACCATCCGCAAGTTGCGCTCGCCAAGCTTATCGATTGCAGCCATGTCCTCATTCGAGAGGTCGAAGTCATAAACGTCCTGGATTGAAGGACATGGACGAAAACGGTCCAGGTGTTACATTACACACCGTGATTCGACAAGTTCTTGAACAAAGGGGGGGGGGCACTTCAACACAATTGACGCTGTTCGCCGCTTTTCAAACGACATTGCAACTGCTGTCCGCCGGCCTCCCCACCTTTAAACCCAAAATCTAACCGGCTACTTTTCACGTGGAGAATACGCTTCATGGATACGACGATACCCGTCAAAGAGTGCTGCGCCTTTTCACGAGACCCTCACCTTATTAGCCAAGATCCTTGCAGGTGTGACAGACTTGGGGATCACAGTTACGCCACGCTGGAGATGCCAGCGAATAATAACCTGGCCCATGAATTATTTCAAAACTGAGTTTAGCAGAAATCGACACATATATCAATTGACTGAATCCAAAGCTCTCCAAAGCTTTGTCAAATTCAGCGAGGAATTTCTTTGTTGGGGCCACCTTTAGTCGTCAGTGATACAAAGTACATCACTTCCAACGTCAGAACATGCCGAGTACGGATGTTCCCAGCGAGAGAAACAGAACGTGCAGATGGCCACGCGATAGCCAAACACTACATGCAGTAGTAGTTCCACGCGGGTCGTTGTCGGTTCTATGCGATTGAATCGGGTGGGTGTATTGTACATCACCTGCGCAGGACTCTTGGTCATTCTCTCCGCGATCTCGATGATGACGGGGTCATCAAGACAGGATGCAAACTCCTTGTTCACGTTTCCCAGGGGTGCATATGCTGTGACGTGTATGTTTTTCTCTTTGCACCAAAGGAGAAGCTCCGTGTTGGGAAGATACGGGTGTATCTGTGGCATAAACATGACCGTGAGAGTAACCGAGTGAGACCGGTGGCGATTTCTACGGTCTGTAGACGAGAAAATAACGTAACACGTTCACGATGTTACAGTCGCTGCTCTCTCTCTGCAATCGAATCTTGCCGTATCTCAACATCCTCGGCGATTTACGATGAATTCCTGCTGTAGATGCGCAAAGAGAACGAGGGCGTACCCAAGTGACGAAGATTGCAATAGACTTTCGAACAGAGGACCAAGGAATACAACCAACAACATCAGTAGCCGTACAATTGTAGCCGATTTGTGGAAATACAAGGCAACCTCCATATTCTCTGTACATTCAGCATCGAAAACAACTGCTATTGTTGAAACAACTGCTATTGTTGCTGCCAACTAGTTTTACATCACCGTCTCCATCTCAGGCAGGCCTTGCTTATTGTTTGTTTGAAAAAATTCACCGTTGTGTGTTCTAGCTGAACACTATCTATCAGAATATCTGCCGAGAAACGCCGTTCTCGAGTAAAAATTGCCTCTCTCTGGTTCATGCACAGCTCTGCTCGACTCGGTAGAGCCGCGCCAGACTCAGCAAGACACCTGCTGCGTGTTCGTAGTAAATGTTTCTCGTACAGTACAGTACAGTACAGCACCTCTTGCCCCACGCTGCACGGACGGTGCATCGATACATAACATTATATCATGTTGAACACATGAATGCGTGAAGCGCTGCCCCAACCAAAGACACGGCGGCTCCTCAGATACAGGAAACGCATTCTATGTGGCGACCGGCACGTGTGCAGAATGAGGGCACCTATGTTCCAACTGCCACAGAGGGTTACCAAGGGTAATTTCTGGCCATAAAGGTATTTCTGGCCATCAAGGGTTTCAGCACGTGTCACAGCCTACCTCGACTTGCAGCACCGAGGGCATGATTTTCGCATCTTCCATCACGTAGGCGAGCTCTTCCTGTAGTGAATAATCGGGGACGGATAACGCGCGAGTGTGCGTCCATTCAAATGGAGGCTCTCCAGGATGGGGTGATGCATTGGTGACAAGAACCCTGGGTGAAATCTCAGTAGACGTTAGGAAAAGATTTTCTTCCCACCCTCCACCGACGCTACGTTTGCGTGATCATTCATCTACAACTTTGCTTGCGCCTCCTACCACTTGAACGCTTCTTCCCACTTTCCTAAGCAAACGGTATCAGTATATCTTGATCTCGTTTTCCCACCCGCCCCACCTGTCTTAAAACCGCTTCGTAATTCCACTTTCAGATCGAGGTCTCTTTTCCTCTTTCAAGCAATCATCATATCAAGGTCTCTTTCCTCTTTCAAGCAACTACATATTATTGGATGCCTCACCTTCGTAAAGTTGCTTACGCCGATCGTCTTCGCAAGTCCACTCTCGACGAACCCCTCCATCTAAATGCGGAGAAGGCAATCAGTTCGTCAACACACAACAGTGACAACTTTCACCAGAATATCGTGCACAATATCTACAAGAAATGGGGCTTGTGCGAGATTGGCTGTTCAGGCCTCACTCAGAACACGTGTATCACATAGCATCGGTCAGACCGCACACAATATCCCGCACACAATATCCCGCACACCAGGTTGCTGTGTTTCAGCACATGGGTTCCCGTGTACTACGGTTGGTAAGGGAGGTCATCCTCGCATGGAAGAAAAATGCGTTCGTGCGGGAAAACATCGTTTTGAACCTACACGACGGGGCACTGGCGGCCGGCCGCACAATCGTTTCCACTAATTGGTAGCACGCCAATCAATTCGGCGGGGACGGTTTGACCGACCCTATCACTAGAAAGTGGATCGGCGTCCCAACACTCACTGCCTTCCACGTTTGCTTAAGGTCAACTTCGTCGTCCAGGTGTGCATCCCCATTGGCGTGCCGAGGCACCAAAACCCTGGATAAGAACAAGCATGGGGCAAGAATATGGGAACCAATGTGTAACCTCTTCCTGTCTACTTCAAATGATCAAAATGAAAAAAACACTTTCTTCAGACAGGCACCACCTTGCTGACCGCAGAGAGGACGAGCACGTTCTTGACCTCTTCTCTAAAATCAAGTCAAACCGGCACAAAAATGTGGAGCAACATGACGTTGTACACGCTACTGCTGTAGGCATCGACAATCGAGAGAACGGCGTACGTAACAGCATGCAGATTCAGAAGCAAAGGCAAGGAACAGGTATCCCAGGCTGCGTCACGTGGCGCGTCTCTTGTTGCCGTTTGATAGTTGATACCGCCAGGACTTCGGTCGTCTCCAGAAAAAAAGCTGGTGACCATCCACAATATGAAGCAAAGAGCGCTACTTGCTGTTGTCGATAATGGTTGCAGCGCATATCGGTCTACGTTCTCGGCGACAGCCTTTTGAATCAAGATGTAACGGCTAGAGACGCCAACCCCTGAGATGTGTCTTCTCGTGCGTCTACAACTGCCAACCTTTTGAGACCGTGAGGTAGGGATCGTTCCGTAACACAAAATCTAGCTTCAACACAAGCGGGCCACGCTGTTCTAGACTTCCTGATGGCTGGATGACATACATTGGCTGGTTCAGGATTTGGACGCCAACGTTTTTGGACGAACGGGTACGATAGAGCCAACTCCCTCCGCGCTGTGTCTGCTTCCGTTGTGCCAATATTTAGGGGCTGAAATGAAAGTGTTGTACCACAACACAAAACTGGCTCACGCCGTTGGAGATTTTCAGTTGGTCGAGGTTGCGATTGCTACCAAATCTTCACATCCCAACGAATCAAACGGAAATGACCACTGCTTCTACCGCCGTTACTTATGCGGCGTATGCCATGACCCTCGCTGAGTGCGACTTTTCGCCTGATGCTGACAGTCTCGCTTAGCTCTGATCTAGTCTACAGTTTAACCAATGTTGGCGGTGAAACCGAGTTAGAAAATGCAAGTCAAAATCTCTGAGATGCAGAGTTCAAGAGACCCACAAAAAGAACGACACCTGAAAACGGCAACCAAAAACAATCTGCGGCTACGAGGGCTAAGGAATCGACACACTGCTGAAGTACTTTGGAGTGTTGAATGCATAGATCTTACGAATGTGAGTTCAAACTCACGTCTCGTCTGCGCAGGGAACCATCGCGAACGAATAGTGTAGCTGCACACAATCGACGTACGGGAGCCCGAGATCTTTCAGGCACGTGTCCAAGTTCTTCTTGAGCAGCTCGGGCCGGTGAAACGTGTTCCACAGCTGTCCGGGGAAAACGCAAGGTATATACACCCACACAAAATAGGGGAGAAAGAGTTGAACGAGACCTTGCAAGTTTGTACGTGTTTATCTAGCGTGGGTTTCATTCTTCTCGCACATCTTCAATCAAAACCGTGCTTGCCCACCTTAGTCGTGATGAAAACATTTTCCCTGATGATGTTGTCCTCTTTGAATGCATCTGCAAGTGCTTTGCCAACCTCGACTTGATTTCCGTAGCACCAAGCTGGAAGTCGCGTGAAGGGACGGGTGTTGTATGAGCACAGGTAGTCTCTCACTCGCGGGCTGCATTTGCTCTCAACGTTCTTCAGCAGTCACCAGCGGGTGAGAGTGGATGTTTCGCCGACTTCTAATATCTATCTAACAATGTAGGATCAGCGAAACTACATACAACTGGATAAAAGCCTGACCGTCAAAATCATAGCATGTGCATACTGCTGTATGTAACTTTCCCTCGTGTTGTCAACGCGAACGTTTTGAGTCAAAAAGACAAGCAACGGACGGGTGGTTTGTTTTTTCCGTGTCGGGGTGTACGGTTTGATTTACAATTCCAAATAGACGTAGAATATCACTCGCCTGTGTCCAACTATTCTCAGGGGCCCTCCCTGCACATGCCGAAATACATGAGAGTAAGAGAGTAAAAGCGTGTTTCTTTACAGGTACCAACGAGTCGGCCCTTGTGGGACCGTTCCAAACAAGCGCAACGCTCGCCATAGTGTCGCATTTTGCGAACTCGTGGCGCCTTTTCCGTAAATCTTCTCTAGGCAAAATAATTATTGCGTACGGACGCCCAGAATCGATGGACGAAAACGAATATGTCACTTTTGAATGAGCTATGCATATAATACAGTTGGTCTTCGTTAGAACCCCGTATCCTCGGCAACGGACAATACTCAGAAACGTGTTGGGTGAAAAAACAATGTCACACGTGCCGCTAAAGAAGCCAGTACCTTTTGTGAGGGCTCACGGGCTCCTTCTCTCAACAACAGCTCTCGTGCGAGCGATTCTGCAGAAGAACGACCTAACTACTGGAATGCTCACCGCAATCGATGTGTAGATACCCTGCCTTGAGAGCGCACTGCTCCTCGCATGAGAACGGAGGAGAGTTGGGGAACGGCACAAGAAGCGGTTCGGTTCAACATACTTCGTAGTTTGAAATAAATAGTTAAGGTTAACATAAAGTCGTGTGTCGTTAGTAAATTACGGCAGTCTGTACAACGCATTTTTGTGTTGTCTTGACTATTTCATGGACCTCTGTCTTTACACCTTTAGGTACAATTCTGGACGCACCAGCCGAGGTCACACAAGGGGAAGGTCACACACAGGAAGTTATTCTTCGTGTGCTGCTGCTGTACTCTACAGATCAACAGATACCAGGATAAGGACTTGCTGAGGGGATAGAAGACAACCCCGTCTGACCCTGGCTCTTTCTTCACTTTATCTTTGGGGTACTTGGATACAAGATCTGATCTGGAGAGTATGTGTGTGGGGGATATGCTGTTCGTCGCAGCTCTCACCCGCTGACCGTTTCAGCAGCAACGGAGGAACGGCATCAGCACCGGCGGCGGCAGCGGCGCCACTGGGAGCTGCAGAGACGGGGGCGACGGCATCGGCCCGAGCGACGGTGGGGGCAGCAGCGCCACCGGCATCGACGTGCTTAGCGGCAGCATCGACGTGCTTAACGGCAGCAACGACAGAGCGAGCGGGGATGAGAGGGCGCGAGCGGGGTGGGTCTACCACTTGCCTGTCCACCCCCCCCCGGCCCCCCCGTCCCGTGCCCCCCACAGCGACCGCACCCTTCCCGTCACGCAGAAGATGAGATAAGCATCCAGGGATCGCCTCCGAGAGACAACGGGTTGATTTGTGCCACCGCTTCTTATGGGAGCAAAAGTTGAAAAAAAAATTGCAAGTCTTTTCGCAACTTTTGGTCGGGAACTTTTGTCAATGGAGCTTTTGGTGCACGATCTTTATGGGACGAAGAAAGTTTTGTGCACGAGACTGGCGGAATGCTTAGGCGTGATCCTATTTTTGTTTTTAACAACGGCGAGAAGCAGCCACACACCTCCATACCACACCGCGAAGAAACCGGCCAGAGCGTGCGGAAGAGGGCAGTTGCAACCTTTTTTCTCCTCGCTCACGATACTCCACGGTATCTAACCTGGTACCAGAACGATGCTGGGTAGAACTACCTCCCTCGGAGTGGCATTGCTGTTGCTGTTGCCTCCTCCTTCGAACCGTTATCGCTGGAAAACCAAACCATGAGCACACAATCCCCGCAAACTTGAACCAACCGCTCTCTGGCGTGGGTATTTTGGGGGCAACCAAAATGTTTTTCACGACGCGCTCGATACTCCACGGCACCAAACCTTGGGCATGAAAGATGGAGCAGAGAGCTACCTCCCGCCGAAGTGGCCTTGCTTTTGCTGTTGATTCCTCCTTCTGGAAGTTATCGGTGGAAAACCAACCCCGTGGCGGTCAAAACACCGAACTTGAACTAACCGCACGGGGGCGTTGACGGACGTGCGTCAGCACAAACTATTTTTCTGGGCGCATTCGGCACCTCACGGCGCCAAACCTTGGCATTGCCCAACAGCCCATGGCATCACCTCCTTCCAGATACCATTCATGAGGCAGCTCGTTAAGTATTCATCGAGATATGGGTGAACACGGTGCCTTCCAATCCAAGCTGGAGAGGGGGTCTACGTGTGTGGTAGGGGTAGGAGCTTGACGTGGATTGGCGCCCAACTTTTGTTCGACACCTTCGTCACGAAAAAAGTTGCAGGACTTTTTCTCCAGATTGCAGCTTTTTGGTCGAGAGAAAAGTTTCAAAAATTTTGGCGCAACTATTTTCTCCCATACTGAGCGTACACGAGGAAAGTTGCAAAAGTTGCAAGACTTTTAACATTTTTCAACATTCTGCTTCCATAAAAAACAGTGTACGGTATTCCCGTTTGTTTTATGGTTTTGTTTTTGTTTTTCTGGGGTTTGCCTTGTTTTATTTGGGACCCGAATTTTGTGTGACATGGGGAATCCAATGATAACTGTCGTACAGATTCTGCTGTTCTGCCGTCAATAACCATGGGGGGGGGGGTTGTGTGCCATGTTTCAGTACCAGCAGAGTAGAGTGCTTTTGTGGAGTTGTGTTGAAGTTGAATTTGTTTCGTTGTGATGGTCCTTGCGGTTTCCTCGTTCTGCTGTGTTTTGCGTCAAGAATCAGGGGGAGGGAATGTGTTGCCATGGTTCCAGACGCTACACCAGCGAATGCGTACATGTTTATCTTGTGTATGCAGGGCATGTTTCAGCTGGGGGTCTGTTTCATACACGTTGATGGTTTGAGATGTCCTGGTGATTGAAAAGGAGAGGAAGAAAGCGCAGGCAGTTTCATACACGTTGATGGTTTGAGATGTCCTGGTGATTGAAAAGGAGAGGAAGAAAGCGCAGGCAGATCTACAAGTATGTTTCGGGGAAATGTTTCAGCGGGGGCGCTGTTGCGTATTGATATTGGTATTGATATTATTGGCTTGTGCCAAAACCAGTGAAAGGAGGGAGACACAGATTTGTATATTTTGGGAGATGTTGCAGCAGGGGGGCTGCATGCATGACTGTTTTATGTTTTCTATCGTTTCTTGGATAACAGCGGCGGCACCGATTCGCATGTGCACGCCGTTTAGGATTTGGTCCTTGGACACAAGTTTGGAGGAAGGGTTTCACATGTCTCGACGAGCAACGGTTGGGGCCTTCGTGCTCTTTTTTTTTAGTCAAGAAGTTGAAACTTTACTTTGTTTTGAGGATTTTGTGTGAACTCTTTTGAAACTGTTTTTTCCAGATTTTTCTGTCACCGTTCCGACGCTTTTCTGATGTAGAGCAAAATGCTTGTTGGGTACGTTTGAGGATGAATATTTTGTGTTGACCGTTTGAGATGACATCCAGGGGCGAACACATTGGGTTCGCGGATAAACTGATGGAGACGCTT